TCTTCCATCTCTTGTATTCTGTTGGTTATACTTACGTCTGTTGTTCCTGGTCATTTACCCAGCTTTTCTATTTCCAGCATTCCCTCAGATTGTGCTTTCTTTATTGTCTGTATTTCAATTTTAGGTCTTGAACTGTTCCTTGAGAGATTTGTTGATATCCTATATTTTTTGGTTTGTTTTTTCTTCCATTTCTTTAAGGGATTTTCTCATGTCCTCTTTGAGGTCCTTTATCATTTTTCTGAAGATGCTTTAAAGGTCATTCTCTTCTGGTTCATCTGCATCATGATGGTCAGGTCTTGCTGGTGTATGGTTCCTAGTCTCCGGTGGTGTCATATTGGGTTTTCTGTTGTTGCATGTGCTTTTACCTTGTCCTCTTCTCATCCTTTCTTCTGGTGGGTGTAGCAGGAGTTTCTTGCTCTCCTGGTGGGTGTGGGACCAAGGTTCTCTTCTGGTAGATGCAAACAGATCCAATACTCTGATGTTGGTCCTCTTCTCGTGGATGGAAGTGTCACTGTTACCCAGGCTTGCAGTGTACTGCTGGGCTGGCCGTTGAAGGCAGGACTGCCTCTGGGTGTTCGGTGTTTGGATCCCGCTGCTGAACTCGGTCCGGCACTCAGGTCACTCAATTGGCCAGTATTTATGTGATTCTGAGTATGTGATAAATAATCGTGTCAGTATATTATACAATTCCATTCTTATGGTTTAATTGGGTCTAGATCTTGCATGCTCTCTTTTTTTAATTTGAAAAAGGACTTTCTTGTGTGTACCATTTTAACAATCACTGATAATTCAAAGGCTTTTACTAATCGAAAGGAAATATAGAAGAAAGGAGAAATTACTACTTTTAGTCATTTAGTTTGATCATGTATCTTGTTTACAACAGGAAGCAAAAGAAGAGAATGGATTGCAGAAAATGAAGACAAAACAGTCGAACAGATCAAAGTGTTTGGCTAAAAGAAAAATTGCACGTATGTTTTCATTTTTTAATTGAATTGATGTAGTATTTTCATTAGGAGAATAAAATTGTTTAGGGTGTATATGCTCCCTGTCCTTTTTTTTTTTTCTTTAACTTTTGCAAGTTTCTTAGAGAGTTACTTTCTGCTTACACATTTGACTTGCTAGAGGAAGACTGTTGAAATTATAAATGTGATCTTCTTGGCTAGGCACTCTTCCTAGAGCCCTTGATTCTCTACCCACCCCTTAAAGATTTTATGTGTGTGTGTGCTTGCTTGTATGTGCTTGGTACCAGAAGAGGGCGTTGGATCTCCTGGAACTGGAGATAGAGATGTTTGGCTTTGAGCTGCTGTGTGAGTGTTAGGAACTGAACCCAGGTGTTCTGCAAGAGCAGCCTGTGCTCTAACCATTGAACCATCAAGAGAAAGTCATTCGGCTCCTCTTTCTTTACTGTGTAAATCATAGACAGATTGCAGTTTTCAGCTGACCTCTGTTCATCAGTAAAAGGCATGATTGGGAGATGACTTATTATTCTTTTGTATTGAGAAAAAATTTTAAGTTTAATGTGGACTATTTAAAATTAGTGTTAGCTTATAGGTAATTCTGCCATGGGTGGTGTTAAGCAGCTTATTACAAAGCTGAAATCCACAGTGGCCAGGCATTGCCAAGATTCAGAGCTTAAGTTGTGCATGGTGTCACTGCTCAGAAATGACTGTGCTGAAACAACACACATGGACCATGCTATGAAGTAGAGGCGGAAGAATCAGTGTTGAGAGCCATCCCCAGCTCTGTAGTGAGTGCCCAGGTTGGTTTCACTATGTGATCCAGATACAATTCATCACCTTGGACCATAGGACGTTCTGTGCTTTGATGAGAGCATTAGGTGTGCGTATAGTAGGGTGGCTGAGATTTATTGATGCTAAAGTAGTTTTCTGAACTGTTGAGAGAAACTGATTTGTTCATGCCTTCTGCAGAGAACTCTGTACTTGAGCTCATGAACAGAAATGGGGCCAGAGGTTTTGACTTTTGGTTGATCCATTTAAACATACTGGATAGTTCTTGGCAAGGGCATTCTTTTTTTTTAATTTTTAAAATTTGAATTAGAAAGATTATTTTATATGTCAATCCCAGTTCCCTCTCTCACCCCTCCTCCCCTGCTCATTAGAAAATGAGCTAATACTGTTCACCTTTCTCAAAATATTGTGTGAGTGAAGAGTTGCATTTGTAAGTTAGGGAACTTCAGGGGAACACTACATTGAGAACCAAGTAAGACAGCACTGGAAACTCAGAATTCTACAAGTATTTTGGGAAGGAGTATCTGAAATATAAAACCATTGTGTGTGATTCTGCCCATATTTGGAAGTATTTACATTTGTGAGCAGCTAGTTTTTGTTATGAAAATAAGTAAAACTATTAATGGTCATGATGAAAGGGTTCAAAGAAGAGGTCTTTGCTGTGGATTGCTCTACAGGATTTATAACCTGAAATATCTTACCCCTCTGGACATGAGGAGGAGATGTCAGATTTTAACTTGAAGAGTGGAAAATGATGAAAGTTATTTCCTTTTTCAAGTTACAGTTTTTCAGTATCATATTTGGAGCATAGTCTCTGCCACTGTATGTTTGTCATGTCTTCTACCTTTGTCCTGTTTAGGTTTCTGTTGTTGTGAAAAGCCTCATGACCAAAGACAGCTTGGAGAGAAAATGAGTTTGTTAGGCTTATACTTCCATATCACAGCCCGTCAGGGCAGGCAGTCATAGCAGGCAGTCATTGCAGGCAGTCATTGCAGGGACCCAAGCAGACCATGGAGGGATGCTGCTTATTGTCTTTCTCCTCCCCATGGCTCGCTCACCCTCATGAAACCCTGCACCGCCTACCTAGGAGTGGCACCATTTACGTGGGCCAGGCCCTCTCATATCAATCATTAATCAAGAAAATGCTCCGTGGACTTGTTTACAGGCCAATCTGATGGAAGGCATTTTCTCAGTTGAGATTCTCTCTTTCAGATGACTCTTGCATGTGTCAAATTGACAAAAGAACCAACCAGTGCAATCATATAAAATAAGTTGAATTGTACTTGAAAGTAAAGTCAAGAATAGGAAAGAGAACTAAGTTGTATATATATAAGTAGTATGAAAAAGTGTATGACAAAAAAATAGATAACTTGAACTTTGTAGATAAATTCTTAGGAATACACAAACCAAAACTTAGTCAAGAAGTAGAAAATTAAAATAGAACTGATATAATAAAAATTGAATTAACAAAAATCAGTAGCTAAGCTGGGCGTTGGTGGCGCACACCTTTATTCCCAGCACGAGGGAGGCAGAGGCAGGCAGTTTTCTGTGAGTTCGAGGCCAGCCTGGTCTCCAGAGCGAGTGCCAGGATAGGCTCCAAAGCTACACAGAGAAACCCTGTCTCGAAAAACAAAAACAAAAACAAATCAATAGCGATAAACAAAAAGATAAGTTTGGCTTCATGGGTAAACTTTGTCAAGGATAAAGAAGTTTTAGTAGCAGTTCTTTATAAGCTCCTACAGATACTAGATGACACACTACTGTCTAACTTACTCCTTAAGTCTGATACCATGTCCACAAGAAAACTAAAGACTGATATTTCTTTAGGATCTAGATGCAAAAATGTCATCATTGCTTGGAATTGAACCCTAGGCTTCATGCTTATAAAATCTGTCTACCTGCCAGGCAGTGATGGCACACACCTTTATTCCCAGCACTGGGAGGCAGAGGCAGGAGGATCTTTGTGAGCTCGAGGCCATCCTGGTCTACACAGTGTTTTCCAGGGGTGGGGGGGAGAGAGAGAGAGAGAGAGAGAGAGAGAGAGAGAGAGAGAGAGAGAGAGAGAGATTGAGAGAGAGATAATGAGAGATTCCTTAGAGTGCATGAAGTCCTGGTTGAGTCCCCATCACTATATAAAGTAGGTGGTGCATGTCTATAACCCTAGTGTAACTAGAGGCAGAAGTCATCCTCAAGGCAGTCTGGACATCAGACCTCATCTGAAAAAAACAAAGACTCTGAAGAATAAAATTGTTCTCGTTAAATGTTAAAGCAGTGTGGTATATAGGAAAAAGCTCTATAGTGGTTTCTGTTTGTTCATTCAGCAGATAGTGATTTCCAGGTGCTCTCATGTGCTAGAGACACAATAGTGAACAGTATAGGCAAACTATGTTTAGGAGGGCTTATGCTCCAGCTAACACAGGGTTCTTGTAATCTTTTTTTTTTTTTGGTTTTTCCAGACAGGGTTTCTCTGTGGCTTTGGAGGCTGTCCTGGAACTAGCTCTTGTAAACCAGGCTGGTCTTGAACTCACAGAGATCCGTCTGCTTCTGCCTCCCGGGTGCTGGGATTAAAGGCGTGCGCCACCACTGCCCAGCACTAATAATCTTGATCACACTTACCTGAGTTGGCTTTCTTTATTAGATTACAAATCATCCTAAATGGTTTGTTCAACAGTATTGTCCGTTGACAGTTTGATGATTCTGTATTTTGCCATCATCTGTATTTTGCTAACTTTTTGTTTGTGGTATTCTTCTCTTCCCTACACTCTTACAGAGATGTCTGAAGAAGAACAATTTGCTTTGGCTCTCAAAATGAGTGAGCAGGAAGCCAGGGAGGTGAACAGCCAGGAGGAGAAAGAAGAGGAGCTCTTGAGGAAAGCCATTGCTGAAAGCCTGAATGTAAATATATGCTGTGTTGCAAGTGTGTGGGATTTATTAATAATGTTCTTAGTTACTTAGTGACTGGTATAGTTGCATTAGAAACAAGCTATGGTAGTTTATAGGATTTTTCAACTAACTTTATCTCAGTACTTTTTTTGAAAGTCTGTGTTGTTGAATTGCTGGTTAATCCAGTTTAAAGTGTTTTTGTTATTGTATGAGTTTGCTTCCACTACACAGATTTTTCAGTCAATGGCTTAAAAGAATCATAGTAAGGGGGCAACTTTACAGAATACCAAGAATTCCAAAGGCCAGGTGTTTGTCTCCCCTCATTTATGGGGACAGCAAAGAAAATGAGAGAAAGAATGGGCAGTTTTAAAAATAACCAAATAAGGGGCTGCAGAGATGGCTCAGCGGTAAAAGGATTGACTGCTCTTCCAGAGGTCCTGGGTTCAACTCCTAGCACCTGCATGATGGCTCACAACTGTAACTCCAGTTTCAGGGTACCTGAAACTTCCCATGGCAAAACACTAATATTAAATTATGATTTGAATATATTAATAGAAATTATTTTAAGTGTTAAGGATACTTTCCAGTAGCAGATTCTGAGCCATTCTTGGTTCTATTGTTAGCTTGTTTGAACTGGAACCTTTAGAGTTGAAAGGGCTGGCTTTGAACTTGTAAGTTCAAGCAGTCCCCTACTGCAGCATTCTGCAAAGCTTAGGACTACAGGCGTGTATCACCATGTGAATATATGTATAATTCGAATCATTCTTTATACTATATAGTCTTCATATGAGACACTGTATAGTAAATATATATACAGGCATTCACTTCACATTGGGGAATCTGAATTGAGCAGCTATATTTTGAAGAGGACAAACTCCTAGGGACAGTGCCTGCCGTTTTTGTTCTTCCTGTGGCTCTTCATGTACAGCTATTGTAATAATAAACCTGGTCTGCTACGGGATCACTTGTTTCAGAGTTGCTGGTCTTCTGATGCTTCTGCTACCAGATCTCAACCTCTGGCTACTGGACCATCTTCACATTCCCATCAAGAGAACACCAAAGATTCTGGAACCACTGAAGGCATGTCTTCCTGTTCTGACTCCTTCCACTCATCAAGTATAACCATATCACAGGGATATTCTGCTGCCCCAAATCCTTGTTATGATGTAAAAGAGGTTCAAACAGAAATAGTTGAAATTTCATTAATATCCAACATACTTTTATCTTCAAGGAAAAACCACCTTTTGGCTAAAGTCAAACAAAGGCTCTTTGTAACCACATTTTGTAATTCTTGGTAAGTGATAGCTTACCAACTTGTCTTAATTGAAAAAAAAAATTTGTCCTTAGCCGTACTTTTTCTCAAATACCTACAGGCGTATGGCAGCTGGTACCTTCATCACTGTTTAAAGGCTCACATGTCAGTCAGGGAAACGAGGCTGAGGGAAGAAAGGAGCCCTGGGACCACAATGAAAACACTGAAGAGGAGCCGGTCTCTGGCAGCTCAGGAAGCTGGGATCAGTCAAGCCAGCCAGTGTTTGAGAATGAGAACGTTAAATGTTTTGACAGATGTACTGGCCACTTGGCTGAGCACACACAGTGTGGGAAGCTGCAGGAAAGTACTGGGAGTGGTTGTGCTTTTCCCAAAGCTGTCCAGGGTAGGGGGGACACGTCTAGGCAATGTCTTCCTACCCCAGCAGACACCAGAGGTCTCCAGGACATCGGGGGCACTGTGCACTACTTCTGGGGTATTCCATTCTGCCCTGCTGGAGTAGATCCTAACCAATACACCAATGTCATTCTCTGCCAGTTGGAGGTTTATCAGAAGAGCCTGAAAATGGCTCAGAGGCAGCTTTTTAAAAAAAGAGAGTTTGGGGAACCAGTGTTACCTAGACCTCCTTTTCTGATCCAGAATGAATGTGGCCAAGAAGATGAGACTAGTGAAAGAAATGAAGGCATCTCAGAAGATACAGGAGATGAAGCCAGAGAGGAAAGGCAGGAATCTAGGGCATCTGTCTGGCCCTCAAAAACCAAGGATTTTCAAAAAAGCCCAATTAAAAGCTTGAAACAGAAACTTTTGTTGGAGGAAGAACCAACAACCAGTCATGGTCAGGTAAGGGTCAGTGATACTATAACTAAGGATTATTTATTTACAGATAAAATAAGGATTACACACCTATAATCCCATCACTCAGAAGGCTGAGGCATCCTGGCCAGCCTAGGCTGCATTTCGAGACCTTGTCTCAAAAAAGGAAAAATTACAATAAATACCTGCAGTCCAACCACCAAAAGGCAATCATCATTTCTAAACATACAAAACACATTTTTCTTTTAAATTTTTGAGCAATTCTTCTGCACAAACTTTGTTCATTTATTTTATAATTTATCAAACATTTTATTCTACTTAGTAGATATACATCGAAACATTATTCCATCTTGTTAGGATATACCATATTTTCTTTTCCAAACTTTTTTAGTTTTTCAAGGCAGGATTTCTCTGTAGTCCAGGCTTTTCTGGAACTCACACTGTAGATCAGACTGGCCTTGAACTCCACAGAAATCTGCCTGCCTCTGCCTCCCAAGTGCTGGGACTAAAGGTGTGTGCCACCACCACCTGGCTTAAACTTTTTATTTTTAAAATGTTTTTCTACAGGCAATGTTTTAAAAAAATTCTAGGAAATGTAAATTAAAAATATATTTGTCTTCCGTCTCTACCTTCTATCCAGACATTTCCCATACTGGATTCAATCCATGCTACTAATTTTAAGTGTACCTTTCATGATACTTTATGTAATATGAAAAATACCTTTCCTCGGTTTAAAAAAATATTTATTTTTAGACAAGTGTCAATGCAAAAACATACCTGTCATTTCTGAAGAATTAGTTAATCAGGGAGAAGGGATTGACACGTGAAGCAAGCTTGTTCCTAATTTGAACTAATAAAGAAAAAAGACTTAGTTTATCCTGTAGCCAAATATGAGTTGCTGTTGCTGGGTTGGTTACCCCAAATTCCATGTTCCAGCAAGGTATCAGTTTTATGAAGATTTTATAGTAACCAGACAAAGAAAGTCATAGATCAAAACACCTTTCAAGGGACCTGAAGAAACAGCTCGACAGTTAAGAGAGCACTGCTGCTCTTCAGAAGACCAGGTTGTAATTCCCAGCATAGCTTCATCCAGGTGATTGGACACCTCTGTCTTCTGAGGATACCTGACTCAGTGTGTACATACCCACATGCAGAGACTCACCTTTATACAATTAAAATAATAAAAATAAGTCTTTAAAGAAAAAAAAACATTTTTCATATACATTGGTGGGAATATCAGGCAGGTGGATTGCAGTGAAATGGCCTCAGATACTTTCTGATAACATTTTTAGCTTTTGGGTTGTTGAAAACTAGGGTTCCATTCATACATTCTATTACTTATTAGTCACAAGGATGTTAAGTCATACACACAGGTGAGCAATAAATGGCTGCTATGTGGCTAAGATAGTTTGGTTCTGGACATGCAGCATTACATTCTTGCCACAGTCATTGAGGTTATAATTAAACAGCTTTGTAGAATGTTCAGTGTAGATGTAGCTTGTTTCTGGGGACTTCAGTTCACATAGGTTCTCATGTAGCCCAGGCTGGCTTTAGACCTTGAGCATGTGATCCTCCGGCTTCCATCTCGTGAGTACTGGGGCGGGGTTACAGGCAAGTACTGTCATGATGTGCTCTGTGGAGTGCGAGGGAGGGGTGGCATCCAGATCCGCGTGCATCTAGACAAGCACTGCACACTGAGATACACCCTTAGCTCCCTGCCCTTTTTATACCAATGGTAGTTTACTGTACATATTATTCTGAGATCATTCCATACAGTACTCAGTTTATCTCTCTCTATTTGGAGATACAGGTATACACTATTAGATAAAAGTATCTTATTCAGTAGCTGGCTGGTGGATATGTAGGTTGTCTCTAACATTTTCCTATCACAAGTAGTACTGTGTTTGAGGAAATTTCATCTACATGGGAGATATCTGTAGGATAATTTCTTATAGATACAGTGGTGGATCAGAAGATGCTTACACTTAGAGTTTTGTTAACCATTACCAAATTGTCATCTATAGAAGTTATGCACATTGCACCCCCCTTAGAGGTACATGAGCACTAGCTTCTCAAACACACGCCAGCATGCTGTTCAAACTGACTGACATTCTCTGATAGGAGAGATGTAACGTTTTAAAAATTGCAGTTTATTGCCGGGTGTTGTGGCGCATGCCTTTAATCCCAGCACTCTGAAGGTGGTTCTCTGAGTTCAAGGCCGGTATGGTATACGAAGCGAGTTCCAGATCAGGGCTGTTGCACAGAGAAACCCTGTCTTGAAAAACAAAACAATTATAGTTTATTTATTTATATGGTGTGTGTGTGGGGGGGGCGCATGCGCATGCATGCATGCACAAATGCCATAGCATGTACAAGGTCAGAAGACAACTTTCTAGAGTTGTAATGATTAAAGTGAATTTGATTAAATTGCCTAGTTTAATACTTAGGGACTGCCCATAGGGACCATTCTTCTTTAATAGTCCTGTCTGTTTTGGGGGGTTTTGTGTGTGTGTGTGTGTGTGTGTGTGTGTGTGTGTGTGTGTGTGTGTGATACAGATTGGAGGCCACAGGTTGACATTGTGTTTATTATTTTTCACTTAAAAAAGCCACATATTTTTAAAACAGTTGTTTATTTATGTAGGGGTGCCACAACATAAAGGTGAAGATTAGAAGACAGCTTGTGGGATCAGGTCTTTTGTCCGATGCTTGACTTAGGGGCAGGGCCTGGACTCTGCTGCTCTAGCACACATGCTCTTAACTCTTGAGCCATCTCTTCGGTTCCCTAAATCAACAAAATTCTGTTATGTGGACACTAGGTGTCAGTGTTTTCTCCCTTTTTCTCCAAAGAAAAAATTCATTGCTTAATTCAAAGAGTTGGGTGCAATATTTATTGTTGCTATATTTTAACAAAAAGGTTTTTAGAAAGTTACATAGTGTGTGTGTGTGTGTGTGTGTGTGTGTGTGTGTGTGTGTGTGTGTGTGTGTGTGTAGGTCAGAGGATAAGTTGTGGGGAGTCAGTTCTCCCCTTTTGCTGTATGAATCCCAGAGGTCAGACTCAGGCTTGGTAGCAAGTGCCCTTTTCCACTAAACCATCTTGCTGGCCCACTGATGCTGTATTTTAGTTCAGATAGTAGTATTGTTCAACTTTGATTTGTCATAGCCACATTTCTTTTTAATTATAGGTTCAGTTTTCCTTCCTTTCCCCTATTCACTTCTTCTTTTCCTTCTTTTAAATTTCATCTTTTATTGGAATCGTAGAAGGTTGCCTAACTTGTTTTGGGCATTGATAAGATGTTATGAAACCCTGAAAACTTTATCAAGTTTTTTCCTGGAAGAAGGGAAGTGTCAGAACCAAGATACTTTCTCAGAAAACCCACTTAATGTTGCATTTGTTGCTTTCTTCATGGAGCTCACTAAATAGATGAGGTTAGCCTTGAACTCATAGTGATCTGCCTGCCTTTGCCTCCCAGTTGCTAGGATAAAAGGCATGGGTCACCATGCCTGGCCTTTGTTTTGTTTTGGTTTCACTGTGTAGCCTTGGCTGGTCCTGGAACTCACTCTGTAGACCAGACTGGCCTTGAACTCGAAGAGATCCACCTACTTCTGTCTCCTTACTGCTGGAATTAAAGGCATGCGCCCCCCCCCCCCAGCATGTTTTATTCTTATCACTAACTGTTAAATGATAATTTTGAACAATTAGATTTTTTTTTCAAAGGAAGAAACTGGGACTGATTGCCATATAAGCTTGAGAGTCAGTGCTCCACACCTAGAACCATGAAGAAAGGCTGGGTGTGGTGGCTGGCACTCACTTGTAAGTCTAGCACTGGAGAGTTGGAGACAGGTGGATGGCGACCTGGGACTAACAAGTCAGCTTAGCCTAGTCTACTTTGGGGTGCTTCAGGCCAGTGAGAGAGGCTGTCTTAAGAAACAAGGTACTTGTCACCACCAAGAAAGAGGGACCTGATGACCTGAATTTGATTTCCAGAATCCACATGGTGGAAAGTGAGATCTTGATACTTGCCCTCTGACCTCCTCATGTGCACCAGTGACATGTGCATTCCTTCCCCCAAAGATAAACAAATAAATGTAAACCAAAAATAGCAAAAAATATGGCCTATTGTGCCTTTAGTTCCAGAAGAGAATCTCTGAGCTGGAGGCCATCCTGGTCTACATTTAGTGAGATTCTGTTACAAGCAAAATACAACAAAAGCAAACACATTAACCCAAGGTGGATAACTTCTGAGGAATGGCACCCAACGTTGACCTCTGGCTTCCACTTGCACATATAAATATCCACAAAATAAGTAACAGCAAGGGAAGAAATAAGTTTATCTGTGTATTTAGGATGTTACCTGTTTCTTTACAGTCTTCCCAAGGTCTGTTTGTTGAAGAAACTTCTGAAGAAGTTCTGAAGAGTTCTGAAGAAGGAAACTCTGTGTCTGCCTCACAAAGGTGGGATTCAGGTCTCTTTCTATGGTAAAGGCATAAAGAAGATGAACCCCTTGAAAGAGACTAACTTGGAAAACTTGCCAGGGAACTTTTATCTCCTTTATGTGTCAAGACTAGAAATCTTATTTAGCTCTAAGTTTGCAAATAGGCATATCAATGCCTCCCCCACTTTTTTTTTCCCCACAAGACAGGGTTTATCTGTGTAACAACTCTGACTGTTCTGGAACTCTCTCTGGCTTTGAATTTAGAGATCCACCTGCCTCTGCCTCGAGTCCTGGGATTAAAGGCATGTGCCACCACTGCCCATTGCAAATATATAACTTTTAGAAACCTAAACTATTAAGCCTGGAAGAGATCATAAAGGTTTTCTTACCCACTCTAGTCATCTTAGTATAAATGTTACCTGGCTTATTTCTTGTACTCTAATCCTAGCTTCCTGACTGTTTCTCTGTGGCTTGCCTTTCTGTCTTCTTTCTCCTTTGGCTCTCTCTGCTTATGTTACTTTTCCCTTTCAGATTAACATACACAATAGGCTTCAAGTCTTTCCTGGTATTTGTGCAGTTGTTCTAACTCACTTGCCTCCTTCCCTCTTCCTGTGGCCCATCTCTAACCCTCTCTCTGGTTAGTCCATTGCTTTCTATTTCTCCCCCTCCTCTCATGATCCCCTTCATAGTTTCATGCTCTACAAATATACATACTTATTAACATGTGTTTATTATGTATTAGATTCATATACTATGTATAAATCTAGGTTTTGCATACAAGAAAACATGGTATGTGGTCTTTGTTTTTCTGAATCTGCTTATTTTGTTTAATAGTAACCTTGCATCCATTTTTCCCTGCAAATGTCATGATTTCATTTTTCTTTATAGCTGTACAAAATTCCATTGTGCATATGGACCTTGTTTGTCCATTCATTGATTGAAATCTAGGCTGATTCCATTTCTTGGTTATTGTGAATAATGTGTCTTTAAACATGGATATGCCAAGTATCTTTGTGGTACGTTGACTTAGGGTTCTTTGTGTGCATAAGAATAATATAACTGGATTGTAATCCTGTTCTTTCTCTTTTTCTTTCCCTCCCTTCCATCTTTCCTTTCATTTCTGTTTGTCTTTTTTGGAACCCCCATGTTGATAGTAGGTATAAAATTTAAAATTCCCTGCATCCTTACCAGAATTTGTTGTTGTTTGCTTTCTTGATTTTGGCTGAGGAGAGAGAGAATTGAAAGGTTTTTTTTCCGGGGTCCCCCCCCTCCCTTTTTCTTTTCTCTTGGCAGGGTCACTCTACATAGCTCTGGCAATCCTGGTACTTACTATGTAGATCAAGCTAGCCTTGAACTCAGAGATCCACCTGCCTTTGTATCACAAGTGCTGGGATTAAAGGCATGAGTCACCATGCCTGGTAAATTGTTCCCTTTTAATATGTGATGGCGTTTTATGTCTTCTGACTAATTTTGGTTTGAAGTCTAATTTATTAAATACCAGAATAGCTCTACTAGCTTGCTTTTGGTTTCTGTTTGCTTCAATTTTCTATCTCTTGGCTTTTACTGGAGACAACAGAAGGTTGGAATAAGTCAATCTGTGTCTTTTCATTGGTGAATCAAGGCCATTTATATTTAAAGTTATTATAGTGAGATACTTAATAATGCCTGTAATTTTGTTGGTTGTCTTTTAGTTGGTTGAATTGCTGTTTGTTCTTTCTTCCCTCTTACTATCATGGGTTTGCTGGTTTACAGTGTCGGACATGATGGGTTCCTTCCTAAATCTCCTTTATTTAGCCACTCCTCTCCTAAACTTTACTCTTTCCTGTGCTCTTGTAATTAAGACAGGTTTTCTCCTTCCTTTGTATGTAGTGTTCATCTACAAATCTTCTGCTGGGCCAGCTTGATGATCATGAACTGCCATAGTCTGCTTGTCCTGAAATGCTGTTGTCTTTCAGAGATAGCTTTGCTGAATGTAGCACTCCCAGGTGGCACTTACCTGCTGTCATTGGTTAGCATGTCTTTTCCTTGTCTCCTGGTTCTGAGCAGTGCTGATGAAAGACAGATATTATCCTCATGTTTTTGCCTTTGTTTTGTGAGTTGGTGTTTTCCTTTACAGGTTTTAATATTGTTTCTTTGCTTTGTATTTTTTTCATTTTCATGTATATGTATTCATGTTTTTGTATATGGGTGGGTCTGCATATATGTAGGTATATGCTTGTGGAAGCCCATATAGCATCCCTCTTGATCACTCTTCTACTTTATTCATTGAGGCCAAGTGTCTCACTTCAACACAGAGCCTGCCAGTATGGCTTGTCTTGCTAGCCAGCTAACTCTGGGAATCCCCATCTCTGCCTTCTGAGACTGGAATTACATACAGGTCACTTGCCATATCCACCAAGCATTTAAGTGGGTTTCTTGTGACCTGAACTCTGGTCCATAGACTTGTCTGTCAGGCACTTTAATGTTTGAGCCATTTCCTCATGTGTTTGACCTCTTAAGCAGCTCTGTCTTCTCTTGTATGTCTATCATAGAGATTCTTTTTTAATTAATTAATGAATTAATTTATTTATTTTTGAGACAGGGTCTTATTTCACTATGTAGCCTGGCTGCCCTGAAACTCACTAGATGAGACTGGACTTGTGCTCACAGAGATCCACCTGCCTCTGTCTCCCTAGTGTTGGGATTAAAGGTTTGTACCACATGTTATGTTATCTCAGAATCCTTAGATGTTGTGGTAATGATCATTTTTTTTTCCTCAGTAATAATTGAATCTAGTATTTGTTTCACTTTGTTCTCTCTCCATGATATTCTATCTTCTGCTTAGTAAAGTCTGCTGGTGATGCTTTCCAGTTTACTTAAAAAACAAAAAAACAAAACAAAACAAAAACTTACTGAGTTATAGGACAGCCTCCAAAGCCACAGAGAAACCCTGTCTCAAAAAGACCAAAAAACAAAACAAAACAAAAAACAACAACAAAAACCCCAAAACGTTACTGTATGTGTGTGTGCCTGGGTATATGTACGTGCCCTGCTTATATGCAGGAGCCTGCAGAGGTAGCAGGAGGCATTGGATCCCCTGAACTGGAGTTTCACATGACGGGTGCAAGCCGTGTGGGTGCTGGGAGCCCACAGCAGGAGCAGTGAGTGCTCTCACCTCCTGAGCCAGCTTTCCAGCACCTTACTTCACTTTTTATTCATAAGCTTTTCAGTTCCTTCTTCCCTCTCTTCCTCCCTCCATTCCTTTTCTTTCCTTCCTTTCTCTCCTTGCTTCCTCTCCTCCTCCTTCCTTTATTTCCTCTCTCCCTTCCCTTAAAAAAAAATCTCTGAATTTCTCTTTGTTGTTTTTTCATTCATATTGATGATTTTTATTCATTGATTTTGCTGTTTTTTTTTTTTTTTTCCTATGCTGCTGACTTTCCATTCCTGGATTACATCTTTGTGTGCTAGGTTAGATCATTGGTCATTTTTACCAGAAAACGCTTGAGAGCTTCATCTATAAAATTCCATAGTTGAGGATTATAGTCTTTTAGAGGTGTTGTGTTGTCTTGATTTTCTATATTTCTTACATTTCATTGTTCTGATTTATGTATCTGTTGGCTTAGCTAGCTCTTCTGGATTTTGAGGTGGATCTTCTTGTTGAGCAGCCTACTCTTTTTTTTTTCTGAGACAGGGTTTCTCTGTATAGCTTTGGAGCCTATCCTGGCACTCGCTCTGGAGACCAGGCTGGCCTCGAACTCACAGAGATGAGCAGCCTACTCTTGAAGGTATACACTGGGGGAAACACACTGCTAGAGCAGCAATAACATCAAATTGTACGAGATAGAGAAATATAAATAAATCAGTTACAGTTCAGTAATATATAATCACCAATGATATAGCTGGAAATGCCACACTGCTGTAGAATGAGGTATAAAGTTAATTATTCTTTAAAGTAAGTGTGGAAATAGCAAGTGAATGAGATAATGAAAGGAGACTGGAGAAGGGTAGAAAAGGGGAGAACAAAATTAAATAGATGAAAGGAAAAATAAGAAATGGATTAGAGAAAAATTTTGTGGGGTAGGGAGACAAAAAAGGAGAGTAAGAAAGAAAGTATCACTAAATAGAAAACTTTAAAAGCAAAATTTCATAAATGTAAGATGAGGGATTGAGAAATAAAAATATATGAATATTAGAAAGTTGATAAGGTAAACTCAAGATACTAAATGTAGAGAGCAAGAGGAAAAGAGGAATCACTGGGGGAAAAAGTGAAGAAGAAAGCTGAGCACTGGTGGTGCATGCCTTTAATCCAGCTCTTCCCAGGCAGTGACAGGCCAGCCTGAACAGTGAGTTCTAGGCCAGATAGCGCTACACAATGAGAACCTGTCTTAAGAGACTAGGGAAAAGTTTTTTCCTAAATGGGAAAAAAATGGGTAAATAAAATTAGATAAATATTTGAAGAGACATATCAAGTAAAGACATTTTTAAAATTTTTAATGCAATACAATCCCTGCCCCTCAAAAAAACCCTTTATTTAGGAGGCAGAGACTAGAGGATCTGTGTGAGTTTGAGTCCAGCCTAGTCTACATAGGTTTTCAGACATTTAGGTGTACATAGAGAGACCCTATCTCAAAAAGCAAAACAAAACAAAAAAATCCTGCATGAAAGCTCAGTGGGTGAAGGTACTCACTGCACAAGTCTGATGACCTGAATTTGATTCTTATGTGGAATGAGAGTACTGATTCACAAAAACTGTCCTCTGATCCCCATGCCTGTACACACACACACACACACACACACACACACACACACACAAAATAAAAAAATTTAAATCCTTCTAAGCATGGAGGGGGGAAAACCCACACATACAAACACAAAGAACAAAACATAAATAAGAAGAAAAGATGAGATGTTTAGCACTTTCTTTCTGGATCCTTGAATAATGCTCATAGAGTTAGGAGAAGGAGGATCATTTTGACTGTGGCCTGTTGGTGTGTCTTTCCTTTGGTTTATGCTGTGTTGCTGTCTGCCAGAGTTCTCTCCAAAATCAATTTCTTTCTTTGCATGTTAGGGTCTGTGGGTCATACTTAGCTTTGCATTCTGTGGATGGGCAGAGTTTTTCATCTTCCTTATCCTGCCTATATTGTATCCTCTCAAGTGGCTGTTTATCTAAGGAGTGTCTTCCACATGGGCTGGGTATATGGAAATCATACCATAGCACTGAGATTGGTGCAGGCAAAAAGACCTGCCTTCATATTTTCAGGGTCTCCTATGTATTAATAAACATACTGGAGGGATGCCATTTGGGTATCATTACACCCCGGGAGCTTCAGAGTTCTTGGGCTTAACAGAAATGAATGTAGGTAGGTGGTTGTAAAGTTTGATCTGTTCACAGGCCTAAGGCTCAGCGCTATTAAACTCCAGCATAGTGCTTGGTTGATGAGATTTGTTCCTGGTTACTGAGCATGGGTTTGTCTCTCCTTATACATGATCTAATCTAAGCCAGCCTCCTGTTGCCTGTTCCCTTTGGCCAGAGTCCAGCCCTGCTGCTGTTCACAGCTGCCTTTAAGAGGCTCCCCAGACTAAAGGTTTGTAGCAGGCCAAATTAAGGTTCCTCATCCTGTGGATGTTCCTTGATTTCAGGCCCCCAGGGTAGTTCAGTTATTTTTTAAATTTTTTATTTTTATGTGTGTGGGTGTTTTAACTGCATGTATATTTGTGTTTGGTACTCTTGGATGCCAAAAGAACACATCAGATTCCCAAGACTGGAGTTACAAACAGTTCTGAGATGCTATGTGTCTGTGTTGGGAATTGAACCTGGGTCCTTAGGAGGAACAGCCAGTGCTTTTAACCACTGGACCATCTCTTCAGCCTCATTTCAATTTTTTTTTTTTTTAAGATTTCATTTATTTATTACGTATACAACATTCTGCTTTCATGTAGATCTGCACACCGGATCTCATAATGGATGGTTGTGAGCCACCATGTGGTTGCTGGGAATTGAACTCGGGACCTCTGGAAGAGTAGTCAGTTTTCTCAACCTCTGAGCCATCTCTCCAGCCCCCCTCATTTCAGTTTTTAACAACATTTTTTCCTCCTCAAAATTGGTTCCTGGCCACTGCCTTCCAAGCCATATGGTGTAACAAAAATGGGATTTGTCTCCACTACAGATCTGTCTACTGGAGTAATCACTGCCTCACGGAAATCTGAAACTGGATTTGAGGCTTATAAGGACTGGGGCTTTTCACCGGGCATTGGTGGTGCACGCCTTTAATCCCAGCACTCGGGAGGCAGAGGCAGGCGGATCTCTGAGTTCGAGGCCAGCCTGATCTCCAGAGCAAGTGCCAGGATAGGCTCCAAAGCTACACAGAGAAACCCTGTCTCGAAAAAAAAAACAAAAAAACAAAAAAAAACAAAACAACAACAACAACAACAACCAAAAAAAAACTGGGTCTTTTCCTAGGGGTAGAGCTACCTTGCTTGCATCTGGCTTGTGTTTGAAAATAGCTTCTGAGTTTCTTTGCTGGGCTGAGGAACTGTATAGCTACTACTGCATACAGACTTGGTATACCTTTGTTATTGCTCTTCTCCAATATGCTTTCACTTACTTTGTAGATTTTCAAAGCTTTCCCTTCTATCTCTTTGACAAACTCTGTTTTTGTTTTTTTTTTTATTCTGATGGTCTCCTTTACTGGCTTCACCAGAAACAGCCATCTTTCTGGTCTGCTTATGCTTATATGCATTTCCAAATCTTATTTCTTTTCTTAAAGATTTATTATTTAGAGGGCACCAGCTCTCATTATAGATGTCTGTGAGCCACCATGTGGTGGTTGCTGGGAATTGAACTCAGGACCTTAGGAAGAGCAGCCAGTGCTCTTAACCTCTGAATCGTCTCTACAGCCCCCAAATCTGATTTCTTAAACCTGTGTGTTATTCAGGCCACACAGATTCTGTACCTCCCTCACTCTATGTCTCTGCCATTGTGTTTAGTTAGTGTCTTATCTGATACTATAGCTATATATTTGCACCACTTCTTCTGTTTTTAAAATGTTATTTATTATGTGCATTGGTGCTTTGCCTGCATGTATGTCGATGTCAGGGTATCAGATCTTGGAGTTACAGACAGTTGTTAGCTGTCCTGTGGGTGCTGGGAATTGAACCCAAGTCCTCTGGAAGAGCAGCAGTCAGTGTTGTTAACCACTGAGCTATCTCTCCAGCCCCACTTTTTCTATTCTTGATGATTAGTTGATGGGGTTACTTTTCCAATCTTTTTTCTTTAGTAATAGATAATGGCTAATCGGTCTGACAGCTGAGTTTTGGGGATTTCTCAAGAGTTGATCTTTGTATTGAATGACTGTTGTCTCTGTCTCTCATATGGAATTTAAGGCCTAGTTGCCATTACTAGAATTTAGGTAGTGGTCTTTGTTAGGTGTTTGGTGGTAGCCGGGCATTGGTGGCACATACCTTTAATCCCAGCACTTGGGAGGCAGAGGC